AAAAGGCATTTGACAAAGTCCAACACCCATTCACAATAAAAACTCTCAGCAAAAAAGGAATAGAAGAGAAATTCCTCAACATAATAAAGGGCATTTATACGAAGCCAACAGCTAACATCATCCTAAATGGAGACATTCTGAAAGCATTCCCCTTGAGAACGGGAACCAAACAAGGATGCCCGTTGTCACTACTCTTATTCAACATTGTGCTGGAGGTCCTAGCCAGAGCAGTTAGGCTAGAAAAAGAAATAAAGGGCATCCAAACTGGTAAGGAAGACATAAAAGTATTCCTATTTGCAGATGTGTGATCTCATACACAGAAAACCCCAAAGAATCCACAAGAAAACTACTGGAACAAAAAGAAGATTTCAGCAAAGTATCAGGATACAAGATTAACATACAAAAATCCCTTGGATTCCTCTACAGCAACAAAGAGAACTTCAAAGAGGAAATCACCAAATCAATACCATTTACGATAGCCCCCAAGAAGATGAAATATTTAGGAATAAGTCTAACCAGAGACGTAAAAGACCTATACGAAGAAAACTGCAAGACACTACTACAAGAAACCAAAAGAGACCTACATAAGTGGAAAAACACCTTGCTAATGGATAGGAAGACTCAACATTGTGAAAATGTCAATTCTACCCAAAGCAGTCTACAGATACAAATGCAGTCCCAATCTAAATTCCAATGGCATTTTTTAATGAGATGGGGAAACAAATCACCAACTTCATGTGGAAAGGGAAGAGGCTCCGGATAAGTAAAACATTACTGAAGAAGGAAAACAAAGTGGGAGGCCTCACACTGCCTGATTTTAAAACCTGTTATACTGCCATGGTAGTCAGAACAGCCTGGTACTGGTACAACAACAGATACGTAAGCCGATGGAACAGAATTGAGAATCCAGATGTAAATTCATCCACCTGTGAGCAGCTGATAGTTTGACAAAGGCCCAAAGTCCATTGACTGGGGAAAAGACAGTCTCTTTAACAAATGGTGCTGGCATAGCTGGATATCCATCTGCAAAAAAATGAAAGAAGACCCATACCTCATGCCGTGCACCAAAACTAACTCAAAATGAATCAAAGACCTAAATATAAAATCAAAGACGATAAGGATCATGGAAGAAGAAATAAGGACAATGCTTGCAGCCCTAATACATGGCATAAACAGAATCCAAAACATTACTAACAAAGCACAAACAGAAGAAGAGAAACTAAATAACTGGGAGCTCCTAAAAATCAAACATGCTCATCAAAAGACTTCACCAAAAGAGTAGAAAGACAACCTACAGACTGGGAAAAAATTTTTGACTACAACAAATCCGATCAGCATCTTATCTCTAAAATCTACAAGATACTTCAAAACCTCAACAACAAAAAGACAAATAACCCAGTTAAAAAATGGGCAAAGCATATGAACAGGCACTTCGCCAAAGAAGATGTTCAGGCAGCTAACAGGCACATGAGGAAATGCTCATGATCATTAGCCATTAGAGAAATGCAAATCAGAACTACAATGAGATACCATCTCACCCCAACAAGGCTAGCATTAATCAAAAAAACACAAAATAATAAACGTTGGAGAGGTTGTGGAGAGACCAGACACTTATACACTGTTGGTGGGAACGTAAAATGGTACATCCACTTTGGAAATTGATTTGGTGCTTTCTTAAAAAGCTAGAAATAGAAGTACCGTACAATCCAGCAATCCCACTTCTTGGAATATATCCTAGAGAAATAAGAACCACCACACGAATAGATATACACACATCCATGTTCATTGCAGCACTGTTCACAATAGCAGAAAGTTGGAAACAACCTAGGCGACCATCAACAGATGAATGGATAAACAAATTATGGTATATTCACACAGTGGAGTACTACACAATGATAAAGAACAACAATGAATCTGGGAAACATAACATGGATAAATCTGGAAGGCGTTAATGCTGTGTGAAATTAGTTCCAAAGGGCAATATTGTATGAGATGGCTAATATAAGAACTCAAGAAAAGGTTTAAACACAGAAGGGTGGGGAGGGAGGGGGAGTGTTATTCACTAACTAGATAAGTAGACAAGAGTTATCTTAGCTGAAGGGAGGGACAGCACACAATACAGGGGAAGTCAGCACAACTGCACTTAACCAAAAGCTAAGAAGTTTCCTGAATACAACCAAACACTTCGAGGGACAGAGTAGCAGGGATGGCATGGTTTCAGGGGACATGTAGGTCAATTGGCATAACAAAGTTTGTAAGAAAATGTTCTGCATCCCATTTTGATGCATGGCATCTGGGGTCTTAAAAGCTAGTGAGCGGCCATCTAAGATACATCAATTGGTCCCAACCCACCTGGAGCAAAGGAGGATGAAGAACATCAAAGACACAAGGAAGATATTAGCCCAAGAGACAGAAAGGGCCACATTAAGCAGAGACTTCATCAGCCTGAGACCAGAAGAACTAGATGGTGCCCGATTACCACCAATGACTGCCCTGATAGGGAGCACAACACAGAGTCTCAGACAGAGCAGGAGAAAACTGGGGTGCAGAACTCAAATTCTTGTAAAAAGACCAGACTTGATGGTCTGAGACTGGAGGGACCCTGGTAGACATGGCCCCCGTACTCTCCATTTGCCCAGAACTGAAACCATTCCTGAAGCTAACTCATGAGACAAAGATTAGACTGGACTTTGGGACATAAAATGATACTCATGAAGAGAATGCTTCTTAGCTCAAGTAGATACATGAGACTAAATGGGCAGCTCCTGTCCAGAGGTGAGATGAGAAGGCAAAAAGGGATAGGAGCGGGTTTAATGGACACAGGAAATCTGGAGTGGAAAGGAGGAGTGTGCTGTCACATTATAGGGAGAGCAGCTAGGGTCACAAAGCAATGTGTGTATTAATTTTTGTATGAGAAACTGACTTGAACTGTAAACTTTCACTTAAAACACAATTAAAACAAAACAAACCCATTCTCCAGTCAATGCCAACTCATAAAGACACTATAGGACAAAATAGAACTGCTTGTATATGGTTTCCCAGAAGCGGCTGCTAGATTCGAACGGCCAACCTTCTGGTTAGCAAAAGCTCTAACCACTGGGCCACGAGGGCTTCAGTGTCCACTATACGTTCTGTGAAATAGGACGTTTTATGATTTGGACTTGGATGTTGTGTGAACAGTTGGGTCTGCAGGGTGGCACAAGTCCCAGGCCACTGAGCCTTTCTGCTGCAGACACCTCAGGTGAGTGCTAGGCCCGTAGCCCTGTGAAGTTCATGGCAGGGAGGTCCTGGACACAGGTCTGGGTAGCAGGGGAATGGTGTCAGCAATTAGGCGCCCCCACCCCATCCAGGCCCGCAATGCCTACCACCTTGGGTGCTGGGGAGCAGGATCAGTCACCCACTCCTCCCAGCAGCAGGGCACCTGTTCCCATGGGTAGGGGGTGGCAGGGTGGGCTCCCTGCCCAATGAGACTGTGGGAAATTGTTAAAAATGTAAGTGGTATGTTTAAACTCTTAGGGAGTCAAAGTGTCACCTTAAAGCAAAAACACAGCAAGCGGAAAACGGAGAAATCAAAATGCATTCCTGGCCAAGGTGGTCTCGTGCATGTCTATGATTTTTGTCATTTATGGCTGGGCAAGATTTATGACTCTGTGCTCTGAAGCTGTGAACAGAGCACAAAACAGCAAACACTTGCTCCGTGTGGCGTATTGCAGCAGCACAACATGAAAGGGGGAGTGGGCCACGTAGGAGGTGAGAGCCAGCCGCAGAAATCCACTTCCCAGCATTTTCTCTTCAAACTTGTGAGTCTGATGTGGCATTTGAAGAAAGAAGGAAAGAAACAAGCAAAAAAAACTATTGCCCTGAAATTGATTCCGACTCAAGAAAGAAGGCGTGGTTCAATCAACCTGTACTTTCTCCTCCAAATGGATGACACAACTGTTGCCACCTTCTCTGCTAATCCAGCTGCTGGCAAGGCCAGCTCACCCATGAGAACCTACCTGATAAGGGGACAGTGCAGGCCAAGGATGCCCGAGCTGAGGCACCTGGTGTGCATGCCTTTCTACCGGCACCACACCCAGCAAAACACAGGGACTAGACCTCCTGAGTCATGCGAGCTGAGGGGGACTGGGGTTGGAAGTTTGGGCCTGAGCCTCTATCTCTGCATATTAGGTGGCTTCCAGGCTGTGCACGGCAGCCAGACAGAAGTGGGGCTCCTACCTCAAGACAAGGGTCTGGCATCCTGGCACTCAGACACCTGAGAGCCCCAGCCCATGGACATACATGCAGTCAGACGTTGCCCAAAGGGACGTTATGCAAAACGTGCCTGTATTTTAATTATTTTGTTTGAAGAGAATTTCTAGAATGCTCATATTCCAAAAAGGATATAAGTGGCTTTTAAAAACAAATGTAATTTTAAAATATGAAAAATATTGCAAATGAGGAAAATGAAATGTACAAAGGATAATGTATAACCACAGGTAAGGTTAATATGAACAATACCTACTAAGGGTTCCTGTATACTTGTTTGAAGTGAGCCACAAATTTAGTTCATTATCGTAATGGAAAGAAAGTGCTCCATTCCTTCCAATTAAACTTTCTTTCCATTTGACAGTTTTTTATCTACGTGAAATGAAGAAACCTGAAAAAATATAAAAGAAGGCCTCACTTTTTAATACTTTTTTTTTTTTTTTTTTGTAAGTCTGGTCACTTTCAATTTAAAAAGTATCGTTTATATTAACATGTAGTGGGTTTATTCTTGTTTTTTAAGTCAATTAATAAATATTTTTAAGCTTTTCACTTTTATTTTCTGATATGGTAACTGTTGTTAGATACAGCCCATATAAACAAAAGCTGTATGGGGCTCAGTAAATTTTATATGTGTAAAGGGGCCCTGAGGCTGAAGAGTTAGAGAATATATTTGATCTTTTTTATTCTCAAATGTTTAAATATTTTCTTACCCTTTCATTTTTCCTTTTGTGAAATAAAATATCTGTTTTTAGGTTGCTTCAAGCCTCAGGAAAGATCAGATTACTTGATGTTGGCAGCTGCTTCAACCCATTTCTGAAGTTTGAAGAATTTCTAACTGTTGGCATAGACATTGTACCTGCTGTAGAGGTAGGTGTGCATAGTTTTGTTTTGTTTCAGACTTGAATATTTTAGATGTACATTTACAAAGAAACAGTGCTGTCTACATTCCTGTCTTAGTTATCTAATGCTGTTATAACAAGAATACCACAAGTGGATGGCTTTAAGAAACAGAAATTTATACTCTCACAGTTTAGGAGGTTAGAAGTCCAAATTCAGGGTGCCAGTTCCAGGGGAAGGCTTTCTGTTTTTGTCGGCTCTGGGGGGAAGGTCTTTATCATCAATCTTTCCCTGCGTCTAGGAGCTTTTCAGCACAGGGACCCCAGGTCCAAAGGACGTGCTCTGCTCCCACGTCTTCTTTCTTGGTGGTAGGAGGTCCCTACCTCTCTGCTCACTTCTCTCTCCTTTTATCTCTTGTAAGATAAAAGGTGATACAGGCCATACCCTAGGGAGTCTCCCCTTATATTGGATCAGGGCTATGACCTGAGTAAAGGTGTTGCATCCCACCCTAATCCTCTTTAACATAACCTAATCTTGTCTCATTAACCACATGCAGAGATTAGGATTTACAACACGTAAGAAAATTAGTTAGATCACAGAATGGAGGACAACCACACAAGACTGGAAATCATGGCCTAGCCAAGTTGATACATATTTTTTGGGGGACACAGTTCAATCCATAACAGTTCCTAAAATGGCAAATGTATTTACTGTGTACAGGTTGGTAAGAGATAATTTCTATTCAAAACTAAGTTTGTATTCTTTAAAAATAAATATCGAGTATTAACCAATATTAATGTGACCACTATCTTATTTGTCTTCATTTTCTTTCTTGGTTTGTTCCATAAGCTGGAATGGAATAGTAAAAATCATTGCAATTATGAAACTTTAGTAGAGTGCAGAGATTTCCAGATAGCCGTAGTATTTGAACTTTTTGTTTGATTTGGTCTGTTTTCTTAATGCATCTCTTTCTGAAATGTACTGTGATGTAGATCCATTATGGAATGGTAGAAGGAGCCAATGGCTTTGGAGTCAGTCCAAATTTTATTAAATCTCACCGATTTGTACTTGAGTAGATGAAACTACTTAACATCACATAGGCTATTTCCCCTACCTTTAAAAGTATTGTAAGAATAAGCATCCAACTAACACTGGCCTGGCACATCATAGGTCCTTAAGAAATGATAAGTATTATTCTTTCCTTTGAGAAAATCACAGTGAGTCCATTTTTGTGGTGATGTAGTTTCATCAAACCAGTATCACCTCCTTATCAGCTCAAGCTTTCTTTTATCTTACATGATGCCAGGAGTTTGTGTTAAGGGTGTTTTTTGAAGATAAGTAAATTCAGAGCAGGCAAATTCCTATTTCTATCAAAAAAAGAAGTGAGATTTTTCTTGAATAACAAATTAATGTTTGCCATTTCACTTTTGATATAGCTCCAGGCACCATATTTAAAAAGGTATTTAAAAGACCCAAATCTAACTTCTGGAGGTGGATACTACATTGTGTGATGTGAAACACACACTGAGTGGGATTAATGGCACATGAAACATTGCAGAAGAAAGGTTAAAGACATAGCAATAGAAACTATCCAAAGTAAAACATAGAAAAGAGAATTTAAAAAAATCAAAGTATCAGCAAGCAGTGAGACAATCAAGTGGCCAAGTATAAGCATAATTGGAGTCCCCAAAAATGAGAAGGGAAGATACTTGAAGCAGTAATGGCCAGAAATTATCCAGATTTGATGGAAACTATAAACTCACAAATCCAAGAACTTCAGCAAACCCTAACCACGAGAAACATGAAGACAACTACACCAAGGCATATTGTAATCAAATTCCTTAAAACCAGTGGTAAAGAGAAAGTCTTAAAAATAGCTAGAGATTTAAAAAGATACATTAAAGTACTGAAAGAAAAAAATCTGTTAACCTGAAATTTCATACCCAGTATGAATACATTTTGAAAATGAAGCCGAAATAGACTTTCAGACATACAAAAACTGAAAGAATTCAACATCAGCAGACTTGTATTGCAAGAAATGTTAAAGGAGGCAGTACTTCAGCCAGGTGAAAATATGGATCTACAGAAATGAATGAAATGTACTAGAGGTGATACTTTATATGTAAAAATAAGTAAGTTTTTTCCTGTTATTTAAATCTTTTTCAAAGATAACTATTTAAACAAAAATAATAATATACAGTGAGGTTTATAATATATGTATAATAACAGTAGTACAAAGAGAAATGGGAATATACTATTTTAAGGTTTTTATACTCTACAGGGGCTCTGATGGCACAGTGGTTAAGCGTTCAGCTGCTAACCAAAAAAAAGTTTGGCAGTTCAAATCCACGAGCTGCTCATTGGAAACCCTATGGGACAGTTCTACTCTGTCTTATAAGGTCACTATGAGTCAGAATCGACTCAACAGTAATGGGTTTGGTTTGTTTGTTTTTTTATACTACACATGAAATAGTATAATATCACTTGAAGGTAAACTATGATAAATTAAAGATGTATACTATAAACCCGAAAACGGCCACTAAACTAGCAGAACCAAGAGTTATACCTAATAAGCAACAAAGTAGAAGTAAAATGGGATCATTAAAAAATATATTAATACAAAAGATGTCAGTAACAAGAGAAGAAAGGGAACAATGAGCAGATGCAACAAATTTGAAAACAAACAGCAAGATTTTAGATGTAAATGTAAACATACCAATAATTGCATCAAATAGAAATGGACTGAATATCTCAGCCCCTGGAAAAGGACATCATGCTCGGTAAAAGGAGAGGATCAGCGAAAAAGGAAGATCCTCAATGAGATGGATTGACACAGTGGCTGCAACAATGGGCTAAAACATAGCAACAGTTGTTAGGACGGTGTAGTTCTGGGCAGTGTTTCCTTCTGTTGTATATAGGGTGGCTATGAGTCAGAACCAACTCAGCAGTACCTAACAACAGCAGTAACAAATATCTCAATTAAAGACAGAGATTATCAGATCAGATTAAAAAAACAAGACAGAAACAGATTAAAAGCAAAAGGATGGAGAAAGACCAGCTGCTGTGGCTATGTTAAAATCAGACAAAGTAGATTTCAAAGCAAAGAATATTACCAGGAATAAAGATGGTAAGTTCTTAATGATTAAAGGGGTCAATTCATCAGTCATAACAAATTAGGCATTAATAACAGAACTTCAAAATACATGAAGCAAAAACTGATAAAATAAAGAGAAATAGACATTTATACAATTTTATAGTTGGAGATTTTGATACTTCCTCTCAGTAATTGATAGAACTAGGTGACAGAAAATCTGTAAGGACAAAGAAAACTTGAAAAACACTATCATTTAACTTGACCTAATAGACATTTATAAAGCATTACCCAAAAACTGCAGGCTGTACATTTTTTTCAAGTACAAACAGAACATTTACCAATCTAGACCATATTCTGGATCATAAAACAAGTCTTAATAAGTTTGAAAGGATTCAAGTCATACAAAGTATGTTCTCTAATCAGAATGAAATTTAATTAGACAGAGACATCTCCGTAAAATTTCCAAATATTTGGAAACTAAATAATCCATGGGTCAAAGAATTCTCAAGGGAAATTGGAATCTATTTTGAAATAAAGATAAATAAAAATATAAGATATCAAAATGTGTGGGATGCCACTGAAGTAGTACTTAGCAAAAAATTTATAGTATCAAATTCCTTTATTAGTAAAAAAGGAAAGTTTTGAAAAAGTGACAACTTTTCAACTAGGGAAAAAAAAAAAGCACAGTAAATTCAAAGTGCAATATGGCTATTAGACCATCCAGATGAATATGTGCCAGGTTTGTCCATCCACTGTCAAGAATGAGAGACTAAGCTATTAGCTCTGTCTTTATCAATAACTGTTGCTATATGGGACCCCGGGTGGCATAGTGGTTAAGAGTTTGGCTGCTAACCAAAAGGTTGGCAGTTCAGATCCACCAGCCGCTTCTTGGAAACCCAGTGGGGCAGTTCTGTTCTGTCCTATAGGGTCGGTCTGAGTTGGAATTGACTTGACAGCACACAACATCATCATATAGCAATACCAAGAAAACCAAACCCGTTGCCAACGAGTTGAATTCTGACTCATAGCGCTGAGTAGACCTGCCCCGTAAGGTTTCCTAGGCTGTAATCTTTACAGGAGCAGATCACCAGGTCTTTTCTTCCGCAGAGCCACTGATGGGTTAAAACTGCTGACCTTTCAGTCAGTAGCCGAGTACTTAACCATTGCACCACCAGGGCTTCTTGCTATGTGATAAGAGTGACTAGTTTTTAATCTAATTTTAAAGCTGCTTTCTTATTCAGGCTTGTTTCCATAGAGTTTTAATATTCAACAGACTAGGCAATGCTTATTCCTTTAGTTGTAGTGGTTCCCGTGGTCATTTGACTAAGTTAATTAAATTTAATATGTAGTTTGTTTCAAATCAGGAATTAAGTGTTTAATAAAATGCAAATAATATTAAAATTACTCTTTAAGATGGTTAAAGTTAATGGTTTATCATGATCTTGAAAAGTTGTAGCATTATTCTGCTTGTACAGAATTTATAATGCTTCCTTCAATATCCTTTTTGACTTGGATTCATCTTGATTTCATGGTATTACTTATTTTAAAGTTTTTATGTTAGCCTGTTTTTTTTGAAACTGTAGATGTTGAAGTAAGTGTAGATATGACTAAGTTTAGAAGTAAGTGGATCATTTTTGTAAACTCTTAAACCCAAATTAAATTTCAAATAAACCCTTACAATTTTTTAAAATTATGTATACTTGAAAATTACTTCTAATTTCAAATGTATTGTTGGGCAGAAATATATATTTTTAAATGATGACTAGAAATTCTCTGATGTCAATAGCTCTCTCAGTCCCTGGGCATTGCAAACATTTTGCGTCTGACTCCTAACCTAAAGATTGGCGATGCTAGTCTGTAGCACATGGAGTCGCTGTCAGTCAGTCGACCCAGCGGCAACCGGTTTGGTTTTTCTTATACTAATTGCTCTTTGAGATTTTTGAGACTGAAAGTTTTGGTTGGATAAGTCTGTGCAAGCTTAATAATTTACAAGGAGAGGTGCATAATCAAAGCTGGAATTATACAGAAATGCTGTGAGATAGTCTGGTGTAAAATCTATTTAATGAAGTGAAAATAATTTTGAAGTTCTTAATATGCCTTATTTTTCCCTTTCTGCAGAGTGTATATAAATGTGACTTCCTGAACTTACAGCTTCAGCAGCCACTCCAGCTTGCGCAAGATGCTATAGATGCCTTTTTGAAGCAGCTGAAAAACCCTATTGATTCTCTTCCTGGAGAGCTTTTCCACGTTGTTGTTTTCTCTCTCCTTCTTTCTTATTTTCCATCACCTTACCAGCGATGGATATGCTGCAAGAAAGCTCATGAACTGTTAGTGTTGAATGGTTTATTACTTATCATCACACCTGATTCCTCCCATCAGAACCGCCATGCTATGATGATGAAAAGCTGGAAGATTGCTATAGAGTCCCTGGGCTTTAAACGTTTCAAGTATTCAAAATTTTCACATATGCATCTGATGGCATTTAGGAAAATTTCCCTAAAAACCACAAGTGACTTGGTTAGTAGGAACTACCCAGGTATGTTATATATTCCTCAGGATTTCAACAGTATAGAAGATGAGGAATATTCTAACCCTTCCTGCTACGTTCGATCAGATATGGAAGATGAACAGCTAGCATACGGTTTTACAGAGCTCCCTGAAGCTCCATATGACTCAGATTCTGGAGAAAGTCAAGCCAGCTCTATTCCTTTCTATGAGCTAGAGGATCCCATATTACTTTTAAGTTAATATAAAAGCGGAGACCCTTTAAGTCCAGATTCCTAAACTAATTGCTTACACTAATTGGAAATACTATTATGAGCTCAGTACTTAAAATCTGGTTTGCATAGAAGAATTACAAAGGTTTACAGAGTTTGCTATTTTTTTCTACGTCGCAATTTTAAGATTTATTCTTATATAGAAAGCTTAAAGTTACATGCAGTGACTCCTGTCATAGCAAAAACCACTGATACTTTAGCATTTAGCACTAAGATATCATGGAAAGGTACCTTTTTCTCTTCAGTGCTATCGTGAAAAATGAAGCGTAATTTACTCTGTACTTTCCTTTTCTTTAAATTTTCTATGTTGACGTTAAACCATTGCAGTGGGAAACTTTAAGATGTGTAGAAAGCTATAGGTTGCACTTTGAGGACTCACAAGTTAAATGTGACACAGATTGCTTTAGCTTGGTGATGCACTTAAATCTTTTTTTTTTCCTAACTAAATTGTTGTCAGCAGCAGAAAGCCGTTTTCTGTCCAGTTTTGTCTGATGGTCCAATATTTCCTGAACCTTTTAAAACTGGTGATAATTCTATTTATCCTTCTTTCTTCTATTAAAAGCTCATTCGACAGCATCAGACATTGGGAGAGAGGTTCCCCCCCACCCCGCCCAAATTATGTATTCTAGTTTCATTAGCACAGTATAATAAACACCATTGCCAAAGTAGTATTTTGGACCTTGGTGTTAAGTATATTTATCTGTGAAAGTTCACGTCTCCCTTTTTTAAATTTAGGTTTCATTTACAAAATTTTCTGTTTAAGCAAGGAGCAATATAGTAGTTGATACTGACCTAAAACAACTTTGTGAAAGGGTTTGCACTTGTAGGAGAGCTTATGTTCTAACTACCGTATTTTCATGCAAAGAACGCACACCTTCTCCATTTTTTTGCCAACCACACTACTCCCCTCCCCACCTAGTGAAGTATTTTCATAAGCACTGCTATGCCAATTTTTTTTTTACATGTTGCGGTAAAAAAAAAAAATTAGTTGGAGGAACTTATGAAAATGCCTCACTGGGGGAGAGCGCTGTTGGCAAACAAAAATTGAAGGGGCACGATATTTGTGTAAAAATACAGTAGACTGAATTTGATAAGGTCCTCACCTTTCCATTAAGGAGATGCTGCACTACAAGTCTGGAATTATATAGAAGAATATAAAATTAACTTTCTGCTAGTAATCTCATAAAATGATTTTGACCTTCAGTATTCTAATTTCCATCTAAAATCCTAGCAGAAGTTTTTCTTTGAATATATAAACCAATAGTTGACAACCATTAGTTGGCATTGAAAAATGTCTTTCTGTGTTTCTGAATCAGAAGCAAATGATTAAGGAGAAATGTATGTCCAAACAAGACAAGATTGGTTTTAGACATCTAAGAACATTTAGTCCACATTGTCTTGGCAGCCAGCAATTGTCATGTAAACTGTCATTTTTAAGAGTGCCACTGTGTGGATTTTTTTTCAAGTGGTTATTACATTAAAATTGCCTCATACTGAGGTTTTTGCACTGAAACTTTATCACAGTTTCAGATTTCATGGTTAATGTGTGTGTGTATTTTTTTAAAGGAAACTTGCATTTTCGATAGTTGATCCTAAATTTCATAAACTGCACTTCTTTACTCTGGTAAAACTGATGTTTTTGTGCTTATTGTGAATTGCTGTAGTTAACTTTGAATGTCAAAGTTTATTTAGAAATATAAAATTTATCCTTTAAGACATTAAACAGTTGAGCATGTGTGCCTGATATTTCCGATTAAATTTCACATGCTAAATGAATGAAAGGAACAAGATTGTAATTAACCCAAAAAAAGTCAATCAGCTAAATGCAATAAATATTGATTGCTCAAATATGCCAGAAGTAACTTGAAATTTTTCATTTACTTTCAGTAGCATAAGATTTCCTTAATTATCATGATTGACTTTTTTTCAGTTAAGCACTGCAGGGTCATATCTTGTAACTCCCCCGTAAGAAAAAAAGTGCTATGTTCAGGATAACACAGAACTGTGTTTTGATAATACCTTTTTGCCATACTATTTTGTTTCCTTTGATTTGACTAAATGTAACATTAAGAGCAAAGAAAGCAATGTCATCAAATGAAACTACTTTGAAAGTAAATGAAAACAGTGCTTTTGAGGGGCTAGTGTTAAGTATGACCTTGGAGTTAGCCTTTGTGTTACAACTAAAATGTTGGTGCTATAAATTCTTCTGATTGTTTACAGATGTTGACTCTGCTTATGCTCCAAAGTGTGCATGATGTATTTTAAGTAGTACTTTAAAGAAGAATCTCTTTATAAAACCTACTACCACTTAGTATAAATTTGTTTGAATTTATAAATATTGTTTGTTATTGTAAATTCAGCTTATTCAAATTAGGTTGACACAAGATTTAAATCAATACATATTCCACCAAAGCCAATTCAGTGTATAAGTGTTGAAATATAAGCAGTCATGTGGCTTGGTGCCAGGTTATATATGGAATGACAAGAGAAGTTAATAGGACCTCCTAATACTGTATAGGTACTCTTAAGAATGATTTCATTTGGATATAAAGAAGTTAAGGGGCCTCCTGTCACACCGCAGCAGGGTTCTCCAAAATACTTTGGTGTTTCAAAAACAAATGATGGTCATTTGGTTGTATTCTTTAGGATCATGACTAGATCAAGTAGTTTATACAATAGTTGCCAAGTTGGGGGAGGTGGCATAACAGAAAATGTATGTTTGTGTTTGTATTTTTTCACATTTTGTGAACAAAGCACATTTATTAAAAATTTTAAATTTTCTAATATTCTTTGTTCATTACTTATAAACTGAAAGTGTTGTGGTCTTTGACTTAAGTATTTCACTAAGTGATTTTAGAATTGGCAAACAGTTTAGAACTTGAATGAAGTTTAGAATTTCCCAACTGCGTTTCATGTAGTCAAATTCCTTAATTTTTTAGATGACTTACTGAGGCCCAGAGAGGTCAAGTGACTTCTCATTGTCATGTTTTGTCATGCTTTTTTATGGCAGAACCAGGCCCTCAGCATAAATTCTAATTTATTATATATCAACCATATCATACTCTGTTTCCTTGGAAAGTTAATTTTGTCAGAGATAATTCAGTAAGTATGTTAGTTCTTTCAGGGCAGCAAATGGCTTTCTCATGATAGGAAAGAGTTCTTTATTCATTGACCAGACATGTGAACTCTACCATGTGCAATATGCTGAGGAGACAGCAGGGGCCTGGGTGGTCACAGGTCCCTGCTTTGATGAAGCTTATGATCTGAGAAGACAATCATTCTGTATGTATTTAATATCTGCCTTTAGGGATTATTGCCTACTGATCCTACAGCTTTTCCCTGCTTAAATCCCTTGTTTCCCAAAAATAGGACAGAAGACAAAAAAGTTTAAATGCACACATACATACAAAACTGTTTAGCAAATTATAAACATATTGTGGATCCAAACCAAAACCAAATCCATTGCTGTCAAGTCGATTCCAACTCATAGCAACACTTACCAGGCAGAGTAGAGCTGTCCCCTAGGCTTTCCAAGGAACGGCTGATGGATTCAAACTGCTGACCTTTTGGTTAGCAGCCGAATGCATAACCACTGCACCACTGAGGCTCCATATTGTGGATAAGCAGGATCTATGGTTCGTCCCTCTTAAAAAAAAAAACAAAACTGCAGGCTAAATATAAATTCTCTGATTATAAATGGTGGCAAAAAGATCAAACTTTTGCTCCATTTATCTGTATTTTTTTTTGAGCGATAGTGCTGTAATGGAATACAAACATAGCCTTGGCCAGTGTTCTTTCTCCAAGTCATGTTCTATAGTACATCTCTATTTGAATGAGTTTGCAGAGACAGGCTAAAATATGAAGGAAAGGTAACGTCAGTAAAAATCATTGTTTCCAAATTGCCATAGGCCTTTTCACTAGGAGTCTAAGAGAGAACGGTTTTTCCCAAAGCCAGGATGGATGAAACATTTCTTGGAAAAAAGGTAAATAAGGAAATTTCTGAAAAGAAGAGAGGTAGGATTATCTGGGTGTTGCAGAGTTAACATGCTCAGCTGCTAACCAAAAGACTGGAGGTTTGAGTCCACCCAGAGGCACCTCAGAATAAAAGCCTGGCATTTCACTTCCAGAAAGTCAGCTGACACACACAGGGTTACCATGAATCGAAATCAACTCAGTGACAACTGGTTTAGGCAGGCCAAATCCCTGGAGGCTGCTGGCAAGAAGAAAGATGCTTGGGAAACAGACTTCAGTTACTAAGTGGGCCTAACTGTAAAAGGAGCTCTATGTTCTCCGACCCCATTGAAGCGTTAGCACAGGTTAAAGTATCAGACTACAGATTACCGTGACAACAGAATAGGGTCCTGGGATTTGAAAGTAAGAAGATAACATCATTTTGATAGAGAGGAAAGGATAGTCTGAAACCTGTGTAACCAAAAGTATTATCAAAGTAAGGGAACCCTGTCAGCCTGGAGAACGGAGCCAATTAGAATGAGGAAATACAGAATGGGAGTTAGGATGTCACAAACCATCTCTTTAGTTTTGATTGTGGCTGACACCCTTTAGATACATGCTGAACTGCTAATATCAATTTTATACCTAAAAATTTCAAACAAGTGTTTTATAGTAAAATGAGCAGATGCATTCCTCCCTAAAATTTCTCAAGTGCAAAGAAGCAACATATTTTAAGTCGTTAGTACAGTGGTAGTATTACAAATAAATATAGGTAGATAGTAATGCTTCTATAAATCTATTTCACTTTCCACAAAATGTGAAGCATGAAATTTAGAAGTAAGCAAGCACAGATCTTGTGACAGATCATTTTAGGTTGTGTATTGTTTTATTCAGGGTTTATAATTAACTGGACTAGGTACTATAAGAAATAGATGTCTGCTCTGCTCTTCAGAAACTGACAATATAGCTTAAGAAAAAAGATAGGTGTATTAGCTTTAATACAAGGCAACAAATTAAAATTTCAACATTGCAGAAACAAATGATACATATTGCTCTGGTTATACATGATGCAGCATATGGTGGTACCTATAAATCAAATCTGTTCACTTGATCCTTTTGGCATATTGTTCATAACCAATCTAAATGCAGTTTACTTAAATATGGGTATCCCTCATCACTGAATTGCCAAATAAAAATAATTTGACCCTCCCTACCTCTCCAAGCCAATCTACCATTCTCTCCTTCACCCTCTATGTTAACATCCCAAAAAACAAAAAAAACAAGCCTGATCATTTGCATTTAGCTTGTCCCTCTGCCTAGAATTTCTACCTCTTTATATTTGCATGGCTAGTTCCTTTTTTTTCTTTCTTTCAGATTTTAGCTTAAACATCACGCCTTCAAAGGAGCCTTCCCAGTCCATACAGCCTTGTCTCTTCCCATCACCTTAGTTAAAATCCTTGCCTTGGTCTAATTGTTGTGTGCCAGTCAAGTCAAATTCTGATTTTCATAGTGAACCCTATAGGATAGAGTAGAACTGCCCCATAGGGTTTCCTAGGCTGTAATCTATGGGAGCAGATCTCCAGGTTTTTTCTCCTGCGAAGCAGTTGGTGGGTTTGAGCCACTGACCTTTCGGTTAGCAGCCAAGCACTTAACCATTGTGCTACCAGGGCTCCTTTATAGCTGTAATCACTTGGCATTTATCTTTTTCCTTGTTTGTTTATGTACATGGGCAAGGACCTTGTCTATCCTGTATCTTCAGCTTAGAAAAATGCCTTGTATGTGGCAGGTGATTGATAAATATTTGAATATGAATTCATTTGTCTTATAAAATGCAACTGAGATTATGCTCCAGTTTCTTTAAATCTTTTGAGGTGATCTGATGCTGTTTTATATTATTTAGTTTATCACTTAACGTATTCTGAGCAGTTTAACCAGACAGTGTTATGTTTTCATATCTTCTGTTTTTCTCCCCTGTGAATTCCCAGAATGACGTAAAAGATACCCAGTTCACTACACAATCTACCCCGCGAGGTTTCAATCAAAACTACAACACAAACCTCAATACAAGATTGTCTTGTCCCTTTAAAATATAAATTTATAGAGGGAGGTGACCACTTCTTCAGTATGTTTAATTTAACTCTATTAAGCATAAGGGAGGCTCCATAAATATAAGGGATGGCACTTAATATGAATTACAGGAATCACAATTTTACTTAAGAGTAGGAATGGTTAGAGATATTATTGCATCTAATAGTTTAATTTCTAAAGTACTAATTTCTCTAGCCCTACAAAAGCACACCTAATGTTGCTTCTATCACCTTCCAAGTTACATGCAGTCTCATCCATGGAGAGTACTTGTCCAGAAGCCACCAACTAAAGTTATTTATGGCACAGCAGAGGTCTTGTGCATAAAAACACATTGGAAACTTAGTATTCCCTTTTGGAAATGACAACAGCCTACAAAATTACAATAGGAGCAACAGAAAAAAAAATTTTTTTTTTAAATAGCATTCAGCTCTGAAGTCCTTTCAATAGTCATGATAATAACATTAACAAGTATCATTACTAAGCAACTATTATGTATCAGGTATTGTACTAAGCACTCTACAAATACCACATCATTTTTATCCTTTCAACAAGCCTATACAATAAGTACAATTATCACTGTTTTACCAGTGAGGAAAGCAAATCTTAGAGAGGTTAAGCAACTGTCTAAAGTTACAGAGTTAGAAAAGTGGCTCAACCAAGATTTAACTCAGGCCTATCTGACTGGTTATTAAGATGCTGATCTGAAAAGTGAGCAAAGGGGAAAATTGAAAGAAGGCTTAAGAGGCTAAATAGATGTGTGTAAAAATGATAGTGGTTAACATTAGTTGAAAACTTACTGTCAGGCTCTGTTCTAAATACATATACTAACTCAGAATTCTCACAATAATGTTATGAATAAATGCTATTAATATTTCCATTTTACAGATATAGAAACTCAGAGCTAGTAAGTGGTACAACTGGAATTCAAATTCAGGCAGTCTAGCTCCAGAAATCTTTGCCTTAACCACTGCCCTTTACTGCTTCTCATTATAATAAATGGCTAAATTAAGAAGTGAAGCAGAGAAGAAAATTACAGTGGAACTCTTAGGAGAAGATATTTTTGAGATTATACACAGAACAAATAGATAATAAGAAGCAGCTTCTCAAAAATTAAATTTATGTATTAAAACACAAAATGATAGGAAGCATTTTTTAAATTATCTAATAAATTAGAGAATCTTGATTAAATGGCCAATATTCTGGAAACATCAGTAATGAAAATAAACTCAAAGAGGAGTAAAATTTTGAAAGGCCAATGAGCGTAGGAGAAATGTTTTAATAACAAATAGTTACCTCTTAAAAAAAACTAAAGACCCAAATGCTTTAGGATTGAATTACTTCAAACTTAAAGAAAAAAATTATTTCCATACTAAGTAATTTGTTGCAGAAAATGGGAAGAAAATGGAAAGCTATCCACTTCATTTTATAAAACAAATATACCATTTACACTAGAACTTAAAAAGATTAACACTAGAAAATCATGCACAAATCTCACTTTAAAAATATAAAAAATAAAATGTTTAATTCAACAGTTCATTAGAAAGTCAATGAGGTTTTATTCCAGAATTACAAAAATAGATTAATATTACTAGTTAATATGACAGATTAATATATCAGCAAGTCAATGAGAAAAAAATCATATGACCATCTCAAAAGGTCCTTAAAAAGAATTTGATGGAATTTAAAACCAACTTCTGAAATAAAACACAATGAAAAAGTTATCATAGTTAACTAAGAATTCACAGATATTTTCTTTAAATATTCCCTTTTAATTAACCATCGAGATTATGTTTAATGGTGAAAATATGAGAAGCTTTTCTATTAAAGTCAGCAACATGACAAGAATGCCTACTTTCACCACTTATTTAAAGTTGGACCAAAATTTTTAAACCGTGCTTTAAAATATGATTCAAAAATAAAATTAGATTCAGGAGTAAGAAATATAACAAATGAAAAGTAAAGGAACTATAATTATATTTCAGAAAATATTACCGAATATAATATTTAAAAAATAATTTGGTGAGATGACCAAATACTAAAAATGTAACAGAATATATTTTCTATAAAGTAGTACTCCATTAGAAAATAGCAAAATTTCAATGAAAATATAATGCAAAAATACCCACCTCTTATGCTGTATCCAGAGAACTAATAGAAAATATATTTAAAATAATATGAATATAGCCACATTGAATATTAGAGAGGAATTCTCAATGGACCAGAAAAATGTGAAGACTCCTTAAAAAAGGAGAGCAAGGAAAAACTATACCAGTAAGCCAGGTCTGCAAGAGACCAAGCAGGGAAGGCATCAGGATCACAGCAGGAAGCTACTGTAGAAAACCGAGAAGTTTCTAAAACACTTGAAGAAAGTCAGCACCAGGAAAGAGAGACAGGATAGATTCAACAAATGAAACAACGTATTAGCTGATGAAATAGAATAAAATGAACATTGAGAATAATGCTTGAAACATCTATTTTTAATATCCTCAAAAAATAAAGGAAGGAAATGCCATAAAATGAGAAATAGAAAATTATAAAAGGGTAACAGACATTTTAAAAAAGGGAATAAAAAATTTAAAAAAGAAACTAGAGGCCTAGAAAAGAAAAATAATCTGAGTAGTAAATTAGTAGCTGTAAAATCAAACTGAGAAATTATCTCAGAATGCAGCACAAAGAAATGAAGAGGTTGAAAATATGAAAGAAACATGAAGTTTAGATACAATTCTAACATAGTTCTTAGAAACAGGAATTCCAAATAAGTTAATAAAGAAAATGGAAGGAAGAAAATAGTGGAAAAAATAATGGCCAATATTTCCCCTAAACATAAGAATGATTGGAACCCTTCAATAAAAAAGAACTCGCTTTGCTGGGCAAAGATACAGGTTTCCCTTACTTAAACATAATATAATAAAAGTTCAGAATATTTAGGGTAAAGAAAAATTTCTAAAAACTAGAAAAAAAGATGAC